ATAATAACAATACACAAGTGTTTAAAAGTGGGACTTGGAATGCTTGAAGAGGGTAAATTCCTGTAGGGGGCCAATGAGACCCAATTTCAACAGAAGGTGCCAACCTGCTATGAAAATAAGCTCAGAAAAAAGCGAAAAAAAACAAATCTCCTAATAATGAAGAGTCCTACACCGATTTTAAGGCCTTTAACAACAAATGTTGTATGATGGCCTTGTATAGTAGATTCACGAATGACATCACGTCATCATAAGAAAGAAATTAAAGCGGTAGTAGTTAAGCCTAAAAGTAGAAGTGAAATATCATTCGATCGAATTATATTAATTATACCAATAGGTATACTAAGTGTTCTAAAAGACACAAGCAAAGGTCAAGGGCTAAATTCTACTAAATGAAATGGCTGACGAATAATAATATACTATTATCTAGATATATTTAACATACAAAAATTATATAAACATCCGCCGGTAGAACGGAAATCATTGATGTTGATTAATATGAAAGTTAAGTATTACATTTTCGGTGTTTATCAGAAGCATATATGTTCATGTATCAATCATTGTTTTACTTTATAGCTTTTCTGGGGCAGATACTTTCGATTATATCTACTAGGTGGTTATTTGTGTGGTTAATAATAGAATTAAGTCTTTTGACTCTTATGCCACTCATAGTAAACTATAGGAAATATTTGTCATTATCATGTGAAGTTACTATAAAATACTTTATTATCCAAAGCATTAGAAGAATGTGGATTATGTTAGGAGGGTATATAGTATGAGAACTAACCACTGGGCCCAGTGTATTCATACTGGTTTTCTTGATTGGATTAATATTTAAGTTAGGATTGTTTCCGGGGCATTTTTGAGTAATTCAAGTGGTTTCAGGACTGAAAAAAACTACCTCTTATTTTTGTTTTATCTATTATAAAAGTGGCACCACTATTTCTAATTGTTACGCTGATAGATAACACAAAACAACCATGATTAATCTTAGTTGGTGTGATATCCGTTGTAGCTGGAGGGTTACTAGGTATTATTCAATCAACAGTTCGGGGTGTGTTGGGAAGGTCAAGAATCTCCCATAGTGGGTGGATAATTATTACTATTTTGATAAATACATTTATTCCTTATTTTTTGGCTTATCTTGGAACACTAACTATATTTTTACTAATATGAGGGAATGATAATTATCTATCTAGCATAATAATGATTTCGTTTTCTGGTCTTCCACCATTTCTGTTGTTTTACCCGAAAGTCTTAGTATTCTCGATATTAGTTGAATACTCGATATGAGCCGTCATTGTATGTCTAGTGTTTATAAGAGTAATGAGATTATATTTTTATATGAAAAGCAGTTACTCGTTGGTATTGATTCGAATTTTAAAGTAACTGTCATATCGGATAATAAAATAGTTTCCTTTTTGGTAGCTTAAAATTAAAGCAATTAACTTTTAATTAAAAGATTGGAATACCATTTTTATAGTGACTTCCCCTTTATAATAGAGATTGATCATCCCTATAAAATCTTTTCGATGAATGACTGAGAAAATAAAGTACTAACTTAGTACGGTTTATTTACAATAAACAGGTCCAGATACTTAATTTACCTGGTATTTTTATGTTAATGTGGTACATTATAAAATAAGTCATTAGTAATTGTAATCCAGTAATGGAAAATACATTATGTTAACAAAACAATTCTGTTTCTGTTTGTCTACCTTTTGCATAAGTGTTTTACTAAAAAGTAATTTAAATATTAATCTACTCGAATCAAATTTTATGATCTAATAAGTAAATCGGTTTCAGAATTATTATATCTTGGTACAAAAAATATTTTGTGGCATCAAAATTAATATCTATAAATTTTTATTAGGGGTGAAAAACCTTTCAAATTTTGTGATAACTGGATAGCGGGGAAAAGTATTTAGTACTTTAAACAGTATAAAATTGTTTAGAATTTTATATATTCAGAAAATTATATATTCTAATGTTAAAAGTATAAGTAAAACTTGTTATTTTACTAATGCTTATAGCATTTATCACTGATGACAGCTAACACTGTATTTGTTCATTTATCAACATAAGTATATATATAGTAATAAATTTAATTCTGCAAAATTACCCGCCAAAATTTGATCTTATGTTACTTGATATTATTATTGGATAAATAGTGAGAATTTCGTAATATTAATAATGTAAAAATTAGTAAAATTTTTAAATATTTTTTATTGAACTCGGCAAATCAACTATTCAACTGTTTATCAAAAACATAGTCGGCAGATGAAATAAATTTTTATTGTCGATATCTTCTGCCCGGTGTTTATATAAACGGCCGCAGTACCTTGACTGTGCTAAGGTAGCATAATCAATTGGCTATTAATTGTAGTCTAGTATGAATGAAGTAATGAATAGTAGCTATAATAAAAAATATTATTTTAATTTAATGAACTGGTGAAAATACCAATATATAGAAAAAAGACGAGAAGACCCTTAGAGTTTTTGAAATAAAGATTGTTTAAGACTTTAATTTGATACTACTCTTAAAGTAATTATACAATACACTTTTTTGTTGGGGCGACAAGAAAGCAATATAACCTTTCTATTGACACTAAAAGTGGTATTAGATCTGACGAATTTATTATGAATGACTAAACTACCTGAGGGATAACAGCATAATGATAAATATTAGTTTGTGACCTCGATGTTGGACTAGGGACTTGTACACTAACCGTGATAAAAGCTTGTTCTGTTCGAACAATAAACCCCTACATGATCTGAGTTCAGACCGGCGTAAGCCAGGTCAGTTTCTATCTTTTGTTGATTTATTTTTAGTACGAAAGGACCGGAATAAATATTATTAATAATTTTAATTTGGCAGATAAATGCAACTGATTTAGAATCAGTAGATGGTGGTCACATCAGTTGGAAATATACTTTAAGGATAAAGAAGAATTAGTTTGCATCTAATAAGTGAATATTGTGAAATGTTCTATTTCCACATAAAATTAAAAAGTACTGTCATTAAGGAAATTACATACTTGCCTAGACCTATGAGTATCTCTATCTGATGAAACATAGGCTCAATTATAGGTCTAATGTTATTTTTGCAAATTTTAACTGGATTTTTTTTATCTATACACTATACAGCTAATATTGCCAGATCATTTGAATCTGTTATTCATATTATTCGTGATGTTCCAATAGGTTGGTTGGTCCGTAGTCTCCATGCTAATGGAGCCTCTTTCTTTTTTGTTTTTATATATCTTCATATTGCTCGAGGTTTGTATTACCAAAGTTATATTACACAACCTAAATCTTGAATGGTAGGGACTAGAATTTTTTTATTGAGCATAGCAACAGCATTTTTAGGGTATGTTCTTCCTTGAGGTCAAATGTCTTTTTGAGGTGCTACTGTAATTACTAACTTTTTATCAGCTATCCCTTATGTTGGTGGTATAGTTGTTGAATGAGTATGAGGAGGTTTTAGTATTGGTCAGGCTACACTAAATCGATTTTATTCATTACATTTCATTTTACCATTTATTATCATAATTCTGGCCATATTACACTTAGTTTTTCTTCATGAAATAGGCAGCACTAACCCATTAGGTTGTGTTAACCATCTCAGAAAAGTACCCTTTCATCCTTATTTTACGTGAAAAGATAGTGTAGGGTTTATTACTGTATTAATAATATTAATTTTCGTATCATTATACTTCCCAAATTATTTAGGAGACCCCGAAAATTATCAGTTAGCTAATTCGATAGTTACGCCAGTACATATTATACCAGAATGATATTTTTTATTTGCTTATGCGATTTTACGATCCATTCCTTCTAAATTGGGTGGGGTTATCGCTTTGGCTGCAAGAATTATAGTGTTGTATGTTCTACCTATAATTAAATTTGAAAAAATAATTTCTACATCGTTTAACTTAATATATCAAGTACTGTTTTGGTTGTTTTGTGGTAATTTTATATTATTGACCTGGTTAGGGTCTTGTCCTATTGAAGCCCCTTATAGTACCTTAGCTGTCCCAATAACTTTTATGTACTTTTTTCTATTATTTTTAATGCCTATTAGTTCAATTCTGTGAAAAAATGCCTTGGAGAAATAATATATTTGTTTTTAGTAGTATAAACATTACACTTACCTTCCAAGTAAAAAATCTTTTTTAAAAGCTCCTGTAGTAGGTTAAAATAAACCATTAGTTTGTGATACTAAAAATATATTATCATCTATAGGTTGTTTTAAGAGGGACTTAACCCCATCTTAGACGCTTAAAGTCTATGCATTTTAGTCTGCCATCTTAAAGTACAATAGCGAGAATTTAGATCTAGCAATATTCGTATTACTAAGTTATTTCGTTATTTTTTTATTTCGATTATATGTATTTATAATAATAATAAAGAACAAAGTCGAGTTTACAAATAGGAAAATTAGAATTCCATAAGTGGGGCTGAGTTGAGGGATGTTTAAATGACTACATAATTGTATCTTCTTAATTAACAGTTAAGTGCTTTTATTTAAGCTACATTTAATCTTTATAATTTTCAATCCAACGCACCATTATGTCATTCAAGAAATACCCCAGCAATAAGAATCAACAGGATTACTATCAGAATCATAATACTCTTAAGGTCCGCATAGATTTGAAGCGAATAGGCTAGAGGAAAAAACAGAGCGAGTTCGATATCAAATACAACAAATAGAACGATTAGCGCAAAAAATTTCGTCGAAAATGGCGATCGTATTTTGCTTATTGAGTCGTATCCACACTCAAACGATGTTAGTTTTCTTAGATTTTGATTACTTGATATGAGTTTTGCTAGAAATATATATATTAGAAATAAAGCGGTTGACAGAATTATGCAAATGAACACATGACTAGTTATTATTTTTTGTTGAGATACTCTTGATTTATCTCTGGATCGATTTTCAAAATCGTTCACTTAACAAAAGTTATAAGGAAAGATAATATTGAAGCTGCTAACTTTAATAGGGGAGGAAATTTTACTTCCGTCTTTCTTAGATATGATAATATCAATTTTTTTTGTTCTAATTGGTAGTATTTTATTATGTAATAACTGAGTTTTTGTTATAATTTCTCTTTCTATGGCCAGTTTAATAAGATTAATTAATATTAATCAGTTTTTTACTTTTAGCGTGAACATTGGATGAAACTCAAGAGCTCTGAGAAATATATTGATTTTTTTAACTGTTTATCTTTTTTTATTGGTTTTTCTTAGCTCTAAAAATCTATCATCTGTTAAATACAACACTACACTGATCATATTAGCAATCTTCCTAGTTGTGACGTTTAGTACTAAGAATATATTTTATTTTTATATATTTTTTGAGGCCTCTTTAATTCCTACATTAGCCCTAATCATCGGCTGAGGGTATCAACCTGAGCGATTGCAGGCCGGTACCTATATAATATTATACACAGTTTTTGCTTCTCTGCCATTGTTGGTCATAATTATGTATTTTTTTAATTTACATAATACTTGTGATTTTCAAATTTTAGAAATGTTAAACAAAACCCCTTTGGATTGATATATAGTCATTTTTGTTTTAACTGCATTTTTAGTGAAACTACCAATTTATAGCACTCATTTGTGGCTTCCTAAAGCACACGTAGAAGCTCCTTTAGCTGGTTCAATAATCTTAGCTGGTGTATTGTTAAAATTAGGAGGATATGGATTGGTTAAAATGGGAAATACATTTACGATTAGAAGAATAAATCTTGTAAGAGTATTCATCTATTCTTTAAGTATTTGGGGTGCTGTTTTATCTAGATTGATATGTTTACGTCAAGTTGATGTAAAGGCCATAGTAGCTTATTCGTCAGTAGGGCATATGAGGGTGGTGGTCTTAGGGGCATTATATAACAACACTTCAAGTGTCTTTGCGGCTACTGTAACCATATTTGCCCATGCTTTTAGCTCATCTGCCTTGTTTTGTTTAGCTTATTATAGATATGAAAAAATTTCAAGTCGAAGTATAATATACATAAAAGGGTATTTAACAATATTTCCGATTTTATCATTACTATGATTTATCTTTACTTGTATTAACATAGCAGCACCGCCAACATTAAATTTAATTGGTGAGATACTAATTGTTCCAATGCTATCAAATTTAGGAGTATATTTTATAGTAACAATAGGACTGTGTATTTTTTTATCAGCCTGTTATAATATATTTTTATATACTGCGGTTAATCATGGTAAAGGTAGTGAGTTTATTATTGGAGGAAATCAGTTAACTAATAATCAAATATTAGTTATAGGAATACACTTAGCTCCTCTATTACTTTTGTTAAAAATAAATCTATTTTGCTTTGCGTTGATTATATTCTACTAATCATAAAGATATTGGAACATTATATTTAATTTTTGGGATCTGGTGTGGATTGGTCGGTACAGGTTTAAGCTTGTTAATTCGTTTGGAATTAGGAACATCTCTTGTACTATTGGATGAACATTTTTATAATGTAATTGTTACAGCACATGCTTTTGTAATGATTTTTTTTATAGTTATACCGATAATAATTGGAGGGTTTGGGAATTGAATAGTACCTATATTAATTGGTGCTCCCGATATAAGATTTCCTCGAATAAATAATATAAGATTTTGACTTTTACCTCCTTCATTTATCTTATTATTATGTAGGTCTATAGTAGAGGGTGGAGTTGGAACTGGGTGAACTGTTTACCCCCCTCTATCAGGACCTGTAGCTCACTCTGGTTCATCAGTAGATCTTGCTATTTTCTCATTACACTTAGCTGGGTTATCATCTATTCTAGGTGCTATTAATTTTATTACTACCATTTTTAATATACGTTCACCTGGTATTACACTGGAACGCATAAGCTTATTTGTTTGATCGGTGTTAATTACTGCATTTTTATTATTATTGTCATTGCCTGTTTTAGCAGGGGCTATTACTATACTATTAACTGATCGAAATTTTAATACTAGGTTCTTTGATCCAAGAGGAGGTGGAGACCCTATTCTATATCAACATCTATTTTGATTTTTTGGTCATCCAGAAGTGTATATTTTAATTTTGCCTGGATTTGGAATCATCAGACATATCTTATCTAACTTTACTAATAAACCAGCATTTGGTACCTTAGGAATAATTTATGCTATGTTAAGTATTGGTGTTTTAGGTTTTATTGTGTGGGCACACCATATGTTTACAGTAGGTATAGATGTAGATACTCGAGCATATTTTACAGCAGCAACAATAGTAATTGCTGTACCAACCGGGATTAAAGTCTTTAGCTGAATAATAACGATTTATGGAAGTAAATCTAAACTTACTGCTAGTATATACTGAGTATTAGGATTTATCTTTTTATTCACACTAGGAGGTTTGACCGGAATTGTACTTTCAAATTCATCTCTAGATATTATATTACATGATACATATTATGTGGTAGCTCATTTTCACTATGTATTATCAATAGGAGCAGTCTTCGCTTTATTTGCTGGGTTTGTTTACTGATTTCCAGTAATTACTGGATTAACTATACATGAATCTTGATCCAAAATTCATTTCTTTATTATGTTCTTTGCTGTGAATATAACATTTTTTCCACAGCATTTTTTAGGCTTGGCTGGAATACCACGACGGTATGTTGATTATCCTGATACATATTATAAGTGAAATCAAATCTCATCATTTGGATCCCTATTCAGAATTATTGCAGTATTAATGTTCATTTTCTTAGTATGAGAAGCTCTAACGTCACAGCGGAGTTACTTATTTTCTGAAAGTTCACATAGATCTCGAGAATGAGATTACGCACTTCCTCCAGATTTTCATAGTAATCTAGAGACTAGTGTTTCTCCTTTATAAACGTGTATCTTAATTAAATATGTTCAAAAACAGTTATGGTTAATATTAACTTTGGAAGTTAAAGAGTAGTGAACACTATTTTTGAAAATATTCATATCCTTTATTATAATAGGTAATTTATACTTGCTTCTAAATCATAAAAACCATATAAATTTATTAATCATTATTTTTTACACTTGTGTTTTATGTGGTCTATCCGTCTTGGAAAGGGTGAATTTAGCATTTTTATTGATAATAATCGTTTTTGTCGGTGGTATTATGGTATTGATAATGTATACAGTTATAATAACATCTAATTTGCTCGTTATATGGAATATAAAATGAATCTGTACCTTTATTTGTATCATTATGTTATCAGCAGACTGAAATACATCAATTGGAAGTTTAATGACGATAAATATTTATTTTCCTCTATATCTATTAGTAATACTTATTATATATTTGTTCATTGTAATAATCGCTAGTTATAATATATTAAAATCTACAAAGAACTTGAATGTATATAATTAAATCTAATAATAAATTTTCTATTTTATTGTTTTGTAGGAGCTTAGTTTTTTTTATATTATTTCTTCTAACAAATTACTTTAACACAACAGTCTTTTTACAAATTAATCTAGCTACGTTCTGTACTACTCAGTTTGAACTTGCATATGTTTTAGATTGAGTATCCATAAGTTTTTTATCATTAGTATTTCTAATTTCGGGGTGTGTTTTTATATTCGGAGATGTCTATATAAAAGAAGATGTATTTCAAGCTCGATTTTTTATTATTCTTCTTACCTTTGTAATTTCAATATGTTTATTAATTGTGTCCTCATCTTTCTTAACCATATTAATAGGGTGAGATGGGTTAGGAATCACGTCGTTTGCACTTATTATTTATTACAGGTCTTTTGAATCAAAACAGGCTGGGTTTAAAACACTACTTACTAATCGGGTTGGGGATGTATTAATTATACTGAGTGTATTCAGATTTTTACAAAATGGTACATATATATTATCAGTAATAAGTACAACCTGTTTGTTTTTATTATTACTCGCTAGACTTACAAAGAGAGCTCAATATCCATTTAGATCGTGACTTCCCGCTGCGATAGCAGCACCAACTCCTGTTAGAGCTCTAGTTCACTCCAGGACACTAGTAACCGCTGGTATTTATTTGATAATTCGTATCATAATTATTTCTGACTTTAGAGAGTTCACAGGTTCCATTTTAGTATTCTTAGGAGCAGTAACATCTATCTTAGGAAGATCAGCTGCTGTATTTGAAAATGATCTTAAAAAAATCATTGCCTTATCAACATTGAGTCAACTAGGTGTGATAATGTTTACTGTTGGAATGGGATACCCGTTATTGGCTTTGTTTCACTTATATATACATGCTTTATTTAAGGCTATACTCTTCATGGCGGCTGGAAATATTTTGATAATTTCTTTTGGGTGTCAAGATTTACGCCTTCTTGGCGGTGTAGGGATATTAAGTCCACTGACGGGGGTAATTATTAATGTAAGTGGACTTTCATTATTGGGCATTCCATTTTTAAGTGCATATTATTCTAAACATTCTGTTATAGAGAAAATATTTACTACTAACATTAATATGTTATCCTTATGGTTAATGGCTATCGCAACAGTTTTTACCTTTATTTATACTCTACGTATGCTATACTGTATTAGTTGAAGTAAGAGCGGTTTAATCATCGGTTCTGTAAACACATCAAAAAAGATTTATTTACCTATGATCATACTTGGTTTATGTTCTGTTCTTTTAGGAAAATTTTACAGATCATTTGATTTTTCGGATTTAGAACCTAGTGTGTTACCAGTATATGGATGACTATATATTAATCTGTCAGCACTGTTATCTTTATGTTTATTTATATATGTATTTAAAGCGGGAAAAAAAAACACTATGCTGTTAAGTAGCTTGTTTTATTTAAGCCCACTGTATTATAAATCTCCTTATATCTTATTCATATTACATAAAAATCTAGGCTATTTAGATAATGGTTGGTTAGATATAGGGAGAAAAATTAATTTAATTATTTCTAAACGATCGCATATAATTATAAAATATTTTAAATGACCCTCTTAATATTATCTAATTTATTAACATGCTTATGTATTTTATTAGGAGTAGCTTTTTATACGCTACTTGAACGAAAAGTATTAAGATACATTCAGATTCGAAAAGGACCTAAAATAATTGGCGTGATAGGACTATTGCAACCTATTTCTGATGCAGTGAAGCTTTTTACTAAAGAACTGTTGTCACCATATAAAGCTAACTACATAATGTACTGGGTAAGACCTATAGTGGCTTTTAGTTTGGCAATGATGTTTTGAATAATGTATCCTATACCCAGCGGCACAAGAACATTAAACTTGTCCATGATTATTTTCTTAGTATTATCCTCATTTAATGTATTTGGTATTATAATGTCCGGATGGGCTTCCAATAGAAAATACGCTTTTTTGGGAGCCATGCGGGCAATGGCACAAACTATCTCTTATGAAGTGAGTTTTGTTTTTATTGTGTTCTTTGTAGCTTTTTTATCGTCTAGACTAAGGATTGAAGAGATTAATTCTGGTTTTGGGTACTTATTCCTGTTCTTCCCATTATTGATAATTTTTATGAGTAGTATAATAGCTGAAACTAATCGAGCACCTTTTGATTTTGCAGAGGGTGAGTCAGAATTAGTGTCTGGATTTAATATTGAATATGGTGGAGGCAGATTTGTTCTTTTATTCTTGGCAGAATATTCGAACATTTTATTCATATCTGTTCTTGCAAGGAGAGTTATCTTTCCCAACACCCAAAGAGTATCATTTCTAGCGAGGTTTCAGTTTACTGCCATTTCTTTACTATTTCTATTTTCACGAGGAGCCTATCCTCGACTGCGTTATGACCTATTGATAAGCTTGTGTTGAAAGTGCTATCTACCAGTATCTATGTGTATTATTATCATAATTTGTCCTATCATTTAGTCATTTTACTTAGTTTAATTAATCAAAATAATAACTTGTCAAGTTATAGATAATATAATTATTAGTAAAAACGTGTGAACAATTAACATATAGCTTAAATAAAAGCAATGCATTGAAGATGCTTTGATGGTCGATTAACCTTTGTTAGATTGAGATTTTGAGGACAAATAAATTTAATAGATCCAGCATCACCTATTCAGGAGGAGATAATTTTATTTCATGACCACGCTTTAACATTACTTATTGGAATTTTTACCTTCGTTTGTATCATAGGTGTGAGATTACTTACTACTAAATTAACTACACGGACTATCGTAGAGGCTCAACTATTAGAAACCGTCTGAACGGTAATTCCAGCACTACTATTACTCTGGTTAGCTTTCCCAAGTATACAATTGTTATACCTCCTAGATGATAATAGGAAAACTGAGATAAGTTTTAAAAGAATCGGACATCAATGATATTGAAGGTATGAAGTGGATCATGTAGGCTTTGACAGATATATGTCTTCAAATTCAGACTTCCGACTTTTAGAAGTAGATATTCCTTTATGTCTTAATACTTCTTTTAATTATTCGAACCTATTAACCAGAGCTGATGTGTTGCACGCTTGAGCCTTACCAAGTATCGGAGTCAAAATAGATGCAGTTCCAGGCCGACTAAATAGAATGAATCTTTATTGAAACTATCCAGGAAAATATTATGGGCAGTGTAGCGAAATCTGTGGAGCTAACCATTCTTTCATACCTATCCAAGTACTGGTAAAATAGGATTTGAGGTAAGATTAAATATGCATGTCAGTGTAATTGGCAAGAAGAGTTATCCCAAATATAATAGGATATGATAATCCGTAGACCTTCAAAGTCTGAAATAATCAGTAGGATTTTATATTGAATCGTAACTTATTTCTACATTCTTATTTTTATCACTTCTGTATTTGTCCTAACAAAGTATACCTCTTACATATACTTTATTGTTATTTTAGAACTTCTAAGTCTAGAAATTCTGTTTATTACTTTTTATTTCAGTGGTCTTGTGTTTAGGCTAAGAGATTTTTTAATTGTATTAACATTAGTAACATCCGAGGCAGCACTGGGCTTGAGCTTAATAATTACTACATTACGGGTTAATGGTAACGATATCGTAAATAATAATATCGCTATAGATTAGAAACATGGTTTAAATAAAACATTAAGTTGCAAACTTAAAGATGGTAACCTCCTGTTTTTTCTTAAGGAGAAAGGGAATCCCCGAGGATATCTAGTTGTGTAATAAAATGTTTTAAGCCTAGGGATTATGCCTGCTATCTTTCTTTTTCTTTTCCTTTCTGATGATGTACACTCCACTCCAACATTTTATAGAGTGAATGTTAGTGAAAGGGATGATAGGGATCAACAAATAATAATACACTGTATACCTCATTCCCAATATTTTATAGAGGGAATGTTAGTGAATGGGTTGATAGGGATCAACTAATAATAATACACTGTATACATAGGCCGTTTTTTGAGTAATGGTATTTAGAGGAAGATAGAATAAAAATCTACGCCTGAATTAAAATACTGATTTCCTCCACAATAAATAATTCTAAAAAGTAAAAATCGAAGCCTGAATGTAGCTTAATATGGCACCTCTTAAGGGTTGTGCTGACCGGGTTAGAATCAATGAGATCTCCTTAAACCATAGCTAGGAAATTCTATTCGGACATTTAGCCCGAATTTAAACGACTGATTTCCTCCACAATAAATAATTCTAAAAGGTAAAAAAATTAGCCCGAATTTAAAATACTGATTTCCTCCACAATAAATAATTCTAAAAGGTAAAAATCGAAGCCGAAAGAGGCTAATAAGGCATCCTCTTAAGGATTGTGCTGCCCGGATTCCAGTATAATAATGCCTCTGATTTATTTTTATCTCCTATTCTATTATCTGAAGTTTTTGGTGGCAGATATGTAGTGCCTGTCATTGTAAATGGCAATAAGAAGAACCTTCCCAATATAAATAGGATAATCTATAATCCGTAGACCTTCAAAGTCTGAA